CCCCCCCCGATGGCGAAGGTTTAACATTGTCCCCCTATAGAAACTAGGGGCAAAGTGATGCATCAAATGCCGAAGTGTGATCCCGACCCCGGCCAATTCAACATACTTAGTAAGCATCTTAATGAGCTTGTAGATGTTCGGTGAGAGCTGATGTAACACCCCATACTTTCATGATTCAATGCATCTTAAGTGAATCAATATAATCTAGAAAGCTTAAGTACATTTACAAAGATAATGATGGGTTAAAGTAAGTGTAAAGGAATAATTGTGAGAGTTGGAGGTTAAATGAATCGAAGATGTTATAACCCTTAATTTTGGGGTAAAATAGGAGTGCTTAAAATCCTAAGGAGTTCATATTTTAAGGTGATTGAATCATATAATATTTGTATGTTTAGTTTTTAAGTCAAACAAGTCGTAAAACAAAACATGGGCAAAAGTTGTCGCAAGTTACAATTATAATTTGACCTAAATTTTGGTCTAATGTCACTGAGCTTTTCTATAAATATACTTTGGTTTATGGGGAGATACACCCGTGAATTTGAAGATCTAAGAGTCTACTTTCTAATGCATTAAACCGTTCATCGATACAATGTCGGATAGAGAGATATTCGCATTTTTACAAGACTGCACAAACAGCTTCCTTGGGACCCACAAAGTCGATGGAAGCTTACCCTGTTATATAAAGTGATAACTTTGGTCTCTAAATATCATTTTCGACAAAATTATACCTCCAAGAAGCTCTAAACTCTCTCTAAGCATATCCTAAAGATTCATACACAAATCCAATGCCAAACCACCAAAGTTCTTCATCAAAAGTGTTGTAGAAGTGGTGGAGATCACTTATATGATATTGTTGATGTGTTGTGAGTTCTTTCAAGTTTAAGGAGGGTTGTTCTTGGAGTTTTTCTTGCTGTTTAAAGGTAATCTCTTCTCTTCTACATATGTTTGATCATATCTAAACCTTAGGTATGTTGTTTGAAGCTAGAAGTTATGAATTGATGGTCAAACGACG